AAAAAAAAAGTGTAGTGAAGGTAAAACCATAAGGCTAATTCTGTCGCCATGCAACAAGTCTAACTTTCAAGAAAATGTTATGAAAGAGAACGTTGAAGAAAAAATTACCTTTTTCCTCCATGTCTGGGCTTTTCATTTTCCGACGGTTAAGGATTTTAATTGCCACTTTATGCCCTGTCCGAATATGTTCAGCAATTTTTACCTTTCCAAATGAACCATGCCCAAGAGTTTTTCCAACTCTGTAGTTTCTCAAAAATACGTCTGCAATCCCTCCTCCACTCTCCATATTCTTGTAAAAACATTCATTCCGTGTTAGCATCACAAATACTAGCAGGAAATGATACTAGTCAAAAGCACTCCTGCACTGAATACACCAATCCACTGTATAGACATGAGTGATTCCAAGTTTCAATGCACTAAGAGGCTTACAACATTACAGAAAAATTCCTCTTTCTTTTCTCTCAATTATTCTCTCCCGGAAACTTCCATGCAGTGCAAAAACACATCAGAACCCTTTACCAGTCACGCTTCTTAGACAATCTAATGAACCGACTACAATTTTATTATGACCATGAGAAATTAATTTGTTTCTACTACTTCCATAAAAGAAATACAACGAAGGGCCTCCAAAGCATAGTTACCCTCTTTTTTTTTCTGTTTAACACAAACCATGAAGCATACAACATTTTTCTTTTCTCCACAAGTGAGCAACACAATCTGCCACATTACAAGATCTTCTCAATCAGAAAAACATACACCTGATCTGAAGTCTCAAAGTTACCTTTTGTCTACTACTACGAGACGACCGAACAACACGCCAGTCACTAATCCGTGAACCCAATACCCATAATTTCATTTCAGTGGACACCAAAATCGAAAACTATATTAAAATAATAATAATAATGTGATTTCATAACAAAGATTCCCGCGGAGAAACTCACAGTCATCACACCAAAACATTATTCAACACTAGAACCAACATTCGATTATACCCAAATCTGAACGATAAATCCACAGAACCAAAGTCAATGATTGTGCCCACGAGCAAAAATGTAAGGCCACGTCAAAGCAAACATCAAAACTAGATACTTTGGCATATATTCAAACCCTAACAAGTTAAGTAAATCTGCACTTGTCAATCAAAACAGCAAAAATCAGAACCGATCAAAAGGCCAATCGCCGGATAATATTGCAAATAATCCATATTCAATCAAGCAAAAGTCTTCATTTAGGGCATAATCAGGGATAATAAGCTACGGAACAAAGTAAAGGCAGGAATCCATTTTCAGCCCCAAAAAAAAAAAA